ATGAATTTATTCTTATATATCTTTTTTGGTTATTGATTTCAGATAGAAGAATCCAATCGAAAATTCACCTCTGTTGCGATTCTAGACTCTTTCTCAATCCATGGAATTTCTTGAAATAATAATCCTGCCATTGATAAAGAAAATAGAACAGGATCCTCATTCCCAAAAAGAATTGAGCAACCTGCTGAAAGATATTTGGGAAGAAGTAAAGCAGAAGCCTGGAAATTTCGAGTTGAGAGAGCTTCTGACTCAAATTTGCAGTGTGGAGGATACCATTGACTCCATCATTGCTAGAAAAATGCTGCAGAGACAAAATATCTCCATCAGGAAGGCTCCTGTCAAATATTTTTCAATTGCAAAAGGCAGTGTCAAATTTCCTCACGAGTTGCACAAGCAAACTAAGGGGCTAAAAAAAATATTGAATGATTTCTTGTCTGCCCCAGTTCCAGAAGAGAAGTTACCGAGCAAATCAGATACCGTAGAGGTCCCAGCAAAGGAGTCCTCTAGTAACACAGTTCCTCAAAAGAAGTCCTCTAAAGATGCTGCAGTTTTATCAAGAAAACCAAGTATTTCAGGGGGCATTCAAGTCTCATCAGAAAACAAAGATGTTGGGAGGGACAACAAGGATTCAGATGAAAGACATCATCAGAGTTGGGAGGAAGGGTGTGTCCCAATTTTCTTGGAGGAGTTAGTAAGCAAATTAGCTCAACCAGCACTCCTTAGCAGGCGGGTGAGGCAACTTCTCATTTTGAAAGCCAATTTGAAATACCCGAGTGATGCAATTTTCTTGTGGACTTCCTACCATTCTTCTGTTACTAAACAACATTTTCAGTTTTGCTGTTGGGTTCGTGTTTCTAAAGAGTCAGGAGAAAGAAATATCTTAAGTGATATTTTGAAACAAGTTCCTTCTATTAAGCAGGGAGAACTCGAGCTGTCAAATCAGTTACTGAGGAAGCGGCTTCAAGATTTCTTAGTTTTTGAAAGGTACCTGATAGTTTTATATGGTGAACTAAGAGACGATGTTTGGAACAGTCTCAAATCTGCTTTTCCCTACTCATTGAATGGTAGCCGAGTGCTTCTCATCTGTAAAGGAATCACTTCAACCAATGTTTCAAGGGAATGGTCAAGCCAACAGCTAGGGAAGTCTAAAGATTATTTGCTGGAGGAATCTAGAATGATTGGCATGAAGGATATTATGACTGAGTTATACCAGTCAATCTTAAATCAGTATAAATTGTTGTTTCTCATTTCCATTGTTGGGGTGGCAGAATCAGAGAAGACAACTTTTTTGTGGGCTATGTACAATGCAGAGGATATTAAGCAGCAATTCCAATACCGTGCCTGGGTTCTTGTTCCAAAAGAGTTCAAAGAAACAGATCTCCTAGCTGATATTTTGGAACAAGTTACAGATAACAAGGTAGAAGAAGAAGACCTCGACCTGGTGACACTACAAAAGAAGCTTTGCAATTTCCTAGCTCCGAAGAGATACCTCATAGTTTTATATGATGTTTGGACGACTGAGGTTTGGGACAAGCTCAAACAAGCCTTTCCCAACTCCATGAATGGTAGCCGGGTGATTATAACCGTCCACGAGGCTGATGTGGCCAGGCAAACCAATTCTTCTTGGATCTTGGGAACAGTTTGTGGAAAAGAGTCGCAGCATGAAAAGGTTTCAAATCTAAAAGTTAAACATAGGTGGGGAAGATTATCTGATGTTAAGGCTAATGAGTCAGGCCTTGTTGGATTGGATGATAAAGTGCAGGAATTAGCTGAACTGCTACTTGAAAATTATCAATTTCTCATCTCAGTGGTGGGTGTGGCAGGCTCTGGCAAGACAATACTTGTGAAGGCAATCTACAGTAGTTTAGCAATTAAGCAGCATTTCGAGTGTCGAGCTTTTGTTTCTGTTTCTCAAGTATTTGAGGAGAGAAAACTCTTGGCAGACTTATCAATGCAGCTGGGAATGGTGCGGAAGGATGAGAGCTGGTCCAAAGAGGAATTGCAAAAGAGACTTAGAAGTTTCTTGGGTTGGAAGAGATACCTGATAGTTTTAGATGATGTCTATACAGCTGGTGTTTGGGAAAAACTCAGTCTTGCCTTTCCAAATTCGTCAAATGGGAGTAGGGTGATACTCACTACTCGTGATGCTTGTGTGCCACGCAATATTAAAGGGCATACCAGAGTTATCCAACTACGTTTTCTAAACAATGATGAGAGTTGGGAATTGTTTGTAAAGAGGGTACCAACGGTTGTAGAAAATGCAGAATTGATTAAAGCTGTCAAAGAAAAGATTTTGCAAAGATGTGGGGGCCTGCCTCTAGATATAGTTGTACTTGGAGGTTTGCTTTCTACCAAGGAACTAAAAATCCCGGTGTGGTCTAAATTCATTGAGCAAGTCAGTCAAAAGAAAGAAAAGAAAGGGAGGATAACTGGTGAAGATGGTGTGAATTCCTCAGGCCAACCGGCTTCCTCACATATGAAGAAAGCAAATGGAGGTCAGTCATATTCTTTCACCAAACGTGATTCATCAGATACCAAGCTGGAAGAGAAAGATGATAAGGGGGAGATTGAGGAAATAGGTCCCAGTGAAGCTTCACGGATGCAAAAAGAAGAAAAGGTGAAGCATGGAGCAACCAAAGAAGATCAGGAACCTTCGCCAAATCAATTGCCTTCATCATCAGATACCACACAAAAAGAAGACAACAGGATATTGGCAATGCAGAATACTTCTTTTGATCAAGATCAAGCAGGTTCCTCTGATGAAACCTTATCAGGTATCTTGGCTTTAGGCTATCAGGACCTAAATTCTCAATTGAAGTTCTGCCTTAATTATTTAGGTCTCTTTCCCAAATCATACAAGGTTCCTTTTAGGAGGTTGATTCAACTGTTGCAAGCAGAGGGATTGTTGAAACAAGAAACAAAGGAAGAAAGTTTTGAAGAGCAGGTGAAGAAATACATTGAAGACTTAAAAAAAAGAAACATGATTGAGGTAGAAGAAAAATTAAATGGGAGCCCCAAAACCATTTGTATGAAAAGTACTCTATATGATGCATTGTCTCCACGAGCAGAGAAAGCTGGATTGTTTCACATTCACTTCAACCATGAAAAGAAAGATGCCCCCAAACAATTTGAGTACGTCCGAAGGCTTGCAGAACACCCAGAGATCAGCTATGACAGGCTTCCAAATTACAGCTTTAGTCTACGCTCTTACGTTTCTTTCAAAACCGAAAAAGGTGATCGACCTGCTTTTGGGGTAGATAAATTTCTTAAGGACACTGTTAAGAGAGGTTTTGGATTAATTGTCATACTTGATTTGGAAGGATTTTACAAACCAGTGCTATCTAAACATCTAGGCAAATTTCCAAACCTCAAGTATTTGGGATTAAGATGGACTTTTTTGGATTCAATTCCTAATTCAGTTGGTGACTTGCCTTGCCTTGAGACTTTGGATGTGAAGCATACTAACATCAGCACTTTACCTGGTGAGTTCTGGGAGGCAAAATATCTTCAATATCTTTACATGAACAATATTTGTGTTGATACATCGATTCCAAAGGCACCTCAAACAAATGGATCATTAACCAATCTTAAGACTTTATTGGGTCTGGTGATCCGCAGTAAGGATTCTGTAGCTTATTTGAAGGCAGCGAATGGTCTTAGAAAACTTGGAGTAACATGCCATGAAGAATCAATTAAGGAGACAGTTGAGTGGATTTCTAAGTTGACCCAACTTCAATCATTGAAGTTGAGGTCAATAAACAAAAGCCACAAATCTTCTACATTGAAATTCGGTGATTTAGGGAATCATACTGATCTATCACAGTTGTATTTGATTGGACAACTTGAGAAGGCATTAGATGTTAAAAAATTTCCACCAAAGCTAGAGATCCTTACTTTGGCGGTGTCAGAACTGCCGGATGACCCAATGAAAGAACTAGGAAAGATGGAGAGTTTGAAGATCCTTGGGCTGCACGCCCGTTCCTACAAGGGGAGAACAATGACATGTCTTCGTGACACTTTCCCAAAGCTTCAAGTCTTAAAATTGTGGATGCTTGAGGAGCTCGAGAAATGGGAAGTGGAGAAGGGAGCCATGCCCGCCTTAGAAGAAGTTGAGATCAGATGCTGTAAGAAACTCATTAACACTGATGGATTGAAGGAGTTGACCACTTTGAAGGAATTGATTTTGACAGGTATGAATCAGGATTTTGTGAAGGAACTTAAAGAAAGGCTAGGCAGACTAGGCAGCAATGTGTCACTCAGAGAAAACGACTGGAAATTTTCTTCTACCTGGGTGAGTTCCTCTCACATAGTTTACCTTTGGATTTTTCTTGTCTTTTCTTTTCTTTTCTTTTCTTTTTTTTCATCCAAATTAATGTATGAAATCAAGTTGACACTAACTGAGAAGAGAATGGTTTTTTCATGGCGGACTACACTTTAAAACATTTAATAAGAGTGCGAAAAGATAAAAATACTATTAATGAATCTTAATGCATTTTCAATTCATTGAGTGTATTTTTGTCTTTTCTAATCCCAAACTGATGTTTTAAGTGCAAGGCCGAATGTAAGAAAACATTTGTGCATATTAATTAATTACTTGGTATATTTTCTTTTGCTTGAGATGCTGTAATAGAAAGAAAGAGAGTTCTGCAAAATTAGTAGTCTTTTCTTTTAATTATCTTTGTTTTATGTTGGGAAAAGAATGCACAATGAGGCGAAAGCATGGTTTAAATGGAATCAACAGCATAGCATCTACAAGTGGAAATCAAGTTCGTGGAGTGATCTCATGGGTTTCAGTGGGGATGAGTATCTTCATAATGAGTTTATGCTGGTGTCACAAAAGCAGGGATCTCGCCATGCATTGGCCTAATTTCTTTCTCTATGTATCTAATGTGATATCGATTTTACTCAACAAAAACTTTGTGGGATGAAATTTATTTGCACTTCCTTTTCATTTGTCAGTTGTTTTTCTTGTATTGTGCTAGGATAATGATACTTAGAATCATTACTCATTGTGCCATGTCAAAGCTTTTCTGTCTATTTGATGCTGATCTGTATAAAATAGCAGTGAAGCTCGTAGAATCACAATCTTAATCGCTTTTAATTATCTTCCATAGACATGACAATGGACATATTTTGTTAGTGTATAAAGTACCAACAAAACTTCCAGAGTATTAACGTACTAACAAATTAATATGTAATATTATCAGTTTGTAATTATAAAATGTTATTATGTGATTGATCATTCTCATCTAGGAGTTCATCTATTGCATGTATTCATTTATTTAATGACATATCATGATTGTAAATTTATAATTTTACATGATATTGTAACTATAATATTATTAATTTGATTTATAGTTTGTTTGATTGATGGAACGAGCTTCCCTTATTTATTTATTTATTTTTTATAATTTTAGCATAACCAAATGGGAGAAGGGGAGGGAAGCAAAGGGAAATAGAAGAATATTGTCTCCCATCCCCACCTCTTCCCTCCGTTTTTCTCAATTAGTTAAAATTAAAAGTTTAAACTCTTATAATACTCAAATAATTCTATATGCACCAAAAAACAAAAGTTAGTCCATAAAGTAATGATAACAATAACAATAATTAATTAATAATAATTAAATTTTACTGTCATAAGATCCAAAGATTAAAAGGAAGAGACGGATATACTTGTGTACTATGAATCAAATTTACTTTGATAGGTGTTTTACCTTCTAAACTTTATCTTCTTCACCTCCCACTTCTTCCATTCAATTATAATGGTGACTAACACCTCCATAATTTCATGCATTTAATTAAACATTCTATATATATAATGGTGATTAACACCCTTTCTCATGCATGCACATGGTGACCTATTTCTCTTTAGTGGGTAATTTATTCTTGTAACTTGCGGGAAATGATATGAAAGAAAGAAGAGGAATAAAATTCTTCGTGGTCTCTTTGTCTCTCTATTTCATACTTCATCTACTCGTTTCTTTCTATATTTTGTAACACGTTATTAGCAGGAACTGTCTCGATATGCTTTGTCTCATGGATCACATTTGTGGTAATGAATTTATTGAGGTAAGGATCCAAGTTGAGGTAAAGTTTTGAGATAAGATTTTGAAGCATAATTTTTTCTTTCAATTTATAGTTTCTAATTTGAATATTTTATAGTGTGTATAACAATTCTTTTATTTATATGTTATTTTATAGTTGGCACAAGATTTGAGTTCATTACCCTTAATAAATTGGGCTCCAACTATTTACCATGAACTCTTAATGTGGAAATTCATTTAGTTATAATGAGTCATGGAGATTCAATTGTAGAACGAAATAAATCATCCTCAAAGAAATAAAACATTCTTGAAAAAAAAAGGAAAAAAGGCATCCTTGAAGGATGGTGATAAAATGATATTTCTTCACTATGAAGTCCATAAAGGACTAAAAAATGAATATTTGTTGATGAATTATTCATTGAAAATTTTGAATGGTTTGTAAGGTAGATGATCACCAAAAATTAGTGTATTTTCCAAAAACTAATTATGAATGAATCCATTTATTACTTAAGTATGAATTTGCAAATATTTTGAATAACTTTATATGAAGAAAATGTTTATTGATGAAGACATATTAGATAAAATAAATGGACAGGGATTGGTACACCTTGTTGAATCGGAGGTTGTACCAATTATTTTCCAAAATAAGTTCTATTTGTCATGCTTCAAGTATACCCTAAAGTAGTAATATTGAGAGTAACGTTTTAGCTGTATTCAAAACTAATATCATGTCTTCTTATTACTAATTAAAATAATGAACTTTTGATAAAAAAATCATCGATCACAACCATCATTTGATTCCATTCCCTAAAAAGAATGTGACATTATATTATATTTGTTGTTATCAATATGGTTGTGGAAATGAAATAATGCAAAAATGAAAAGGTTTGAAAAATAAGTTAACAAAGAATTTGAGAGTTCTTATTATAAATGTGACATGAATGAACATTAGTCACTTAATTTTAGTATATCCAAATAATTCATGTACCTGTTGTACATCTTGAAATATATGCTTGATTTCTTACAAACTTTACTCCATGAGAAGGGAAAAGGTGCAAAAACAAAGTTTGTGAAAAAAAATAATATAGATATACCCTTGTGATACTTGTGACACACAAATTAATTTTAAACTTGTTGACTCAATGCACTCCAAGAGGGGGGTGAATTGGAGTTGGAAAATTTTCACCTCTTTGCAAACACCAAACAAAAATTAAAGAGAGAGTAGAGAAGAAGAGCTTGCACAATGATTTTATAGAGGTTCGGTCCAACCACTTGGAGCCTAGGCCTCTACTTTGGCTTCACTCACCAAGGATTTCTTCCACACTCTCCACTAAGAAAAACAATGGTGGCTTAAAGAAGCCACTCAATCCTTTTACAAGAAGAAGGGTGTTTCTCTCAAATATCACCCCTTTACACTTAAACCCCAAGAATCTTCTCTACAAATCACTCTTGAAAGAATAATCACATCTCCAAGATCACTCACAAATAGAACAAGAAAAGGATTACAAGTAAAGATCTTTTAAAGATCAAAAACTCAAGTTAAAGCACAAGTTGGCAGGTAAAGATATTCAATATAATGCTCTCCAAACTTATTCTAGATCTGTTACTAACCATATTTATAGCTCCTTGCTCGAAAATAGCCGTTTCTATCCATTGGGGGTCATTAAATGCTCTGCAAGTCGCTTAATTCGAGTTGTAGAATTATCATCACAGCCGGCTTAAATTTTCTACAGCCGACTCTGAGAGTTTCTTGCATTCTGTATTCTCTGTAGAGCCAGCTTAAAAATTCTACAGCAGACTTTGCGAGTTTCTTGCACATTCTGTTTTCTTACACAACCGACTGCGGAGTCTAAAGCCAGCTTTGGGATTCCAACTTTAAAAACATAATCTTCAAATGACTCGACCGTTGTGCATTAAATGCGCCCTTACAGTGGGCTGCAAAGTCAAAGCTAGCTTTGCATCTATTTTCCGCACGTGCCAAACAATAGACTTCAAATTTTCACCCGTAGAGCCAGCTCTCTACATTTTTTCCCTCCCACAGCCGGTTGCAAATTATTTAAGCCGGCTCTCTACTCATTTTTCAGCCTATTTGGTCCTTTTTAGTGCAATCTTATTTTACTTATTTTGTAGTCTTTTGGCAATTTAACTACACACTTAAATGAACCAATTAGTCACTCAAATATATTTTATAATCATCAAAATCATAGGTACAACCAAACTTAGAAATCTCATGCCCATTTTGAAAATATTGGAGAAAGGTGGCTCAAATATTTGAGAAATTGAAAAGACATCCCAAGGAGAGTGTAAAAGAGACTTATCCTTTCTAACTTGAAATTGATGAATCCTTAATTAGTAAGGGTCCGTCCAAATTGATGCTTTTCTTAACAAGGAGAATGTAAAAGAGACTTGTCTCTTAGTGAAAAAGGGAAAGAAAAAAGAGGAAATGTGTTTGAGTTGAGTCCTTGAGGAACACACAGATTCAAAAGAAGAAACTTTCCTAATGATGTAGTTTTTTTTTTTTTTTTTTTAAAGTATATTGGATGACAGATTATATAACAAAGGATAAACCTCCCTTACCCAAACCCCTTTCCCAATTATCCCATGATTTAAACTTGAGATATTCAAGATAAAAACTTAAATTCTTAATTTTGATCTCTAATAATCATCATAATATGTTGAAAAAATGCTTAAAAGTAAACAAATTTGTGTTTGGAGCTGCAAAATCTATAAAAATCAGAACCAAAACCCCAAAACTATAATCATATTACATAGAGCCTAGATTGTTGTCTCATTTAAGATTTTACAAATGGACAGTTTCATTTTCCATGTTAGTATTAATATTTAAAACAAATAAAATACTTAACTAAAAACAGTGTCACGTCATCATTTTGCTGATGGAGTGACCCAAAAATGGCAAAAACCAACATTTAGCCCTTCACCTTACAAAATTGGTAGGTTTTAGTCCCCCACCTTATAACATCACAGTTTTAGCCCTTTTTCTTAAAAAATTGGTCAGTTAGCCCCTCACCTTACAAATTTGGTAGGTTTTAATCCCTTACCTTATATTATGATATTTTTAGCCCCTCACCGATACAAATTAAAGAAAATAGCCCTCACCTAATATCATGTTATAATGTTTTGTTAATTCTGTTAGTTGCTGTTAACATACGTTAGTATTCCGTTATAAAAAACATGAAATTTAAATTCAATTTTATTTGTTAGTTTTATTAATGGAATGCTAACGGATGCTAACAGTTAACCAACAAAACTGACAGTCAGCTAACAGAACTAATAGAACATTATAATCTAATGTTAAATAAGGGTTATTTTCTTTAATTCGTACAAATAAGGGGCTAAAAGTGTCATAATATAAAGTGAGAGGATAAAACCTACCAACTTTGTAAGGTGAGGGGTTAAAACTTACCAACTTTGTAAGGTAAAGGGTTAAAACCTATCAATTTTATAAGGTAAGGGGCTAAAAATTGGTTTTAGCCCCCAAAAATGGCCAAAAAAAAGTAATTTTAAAGGAAAAAAAAAAAAAAAGGTCCTTACAACCGTTGAGGACCAAAATAGAACTATTTTAACCTTTTTTATAACTATTTTCGTTTAACTTTAGATGTCATACTTTCTAATTTGAGGCTTTCAAAATTAATTTTTCATTTTTCTATTCGAAGATATCATTTAATATTTTTATTTTACCCTTATTTTAAAATGGTAATTATAACCAAAGTTTTAAAAACCGAACCGGAGGTCAAACCGTTTTGACCTCCGGTTCCCGGTTTATCCGGTTTAACCGGTTCAACCGTTCAAACCGCCGGGTCATTTCAAATGAATAAATATAATGTTGTGTAGTACTTTTACAGAACAGGTCCGGTGGATCAACTGGTTTGTAACCTTGCACATTGTGGAGGAGGCACAAGTTCGAGCATGCTCC